AATTGCATGCGTAAGAAGTTTTATCAGATTGCCTCATCTTTTGGTCTTTGTATATTTTTTTAAGGTGTGTAGAACCCTAATTTATTTATTTATTGAAAAAATTTTGAAAAGAAGAATGTATAAGTCCCTTGCGGTAAGCGGAAACAATCAGCCTTTCACATGGCTGAATTAAAATCTATTTCGAGCTCAGAGTCCGGCTCTTGCAGTTGAGTTTCTATAAGTACAGGTCTATAGGCCATACACTACATTTTTTGGTAATATAAAAATACTTTATTGTAATTATAAAATTCATTTACAAAGAATTGTTACTTAGTACTCCAAAGTACCTTAATGATCTTCATAAAAAACACCTCAACTGTAGCCGAGAAACGCTGAATAACAGAATGAAAATGGTTTGTGTCAGGTTCATTTAGTCTTTATAACGTGTCTTATAAACTTTGTGGGATTAAAAGGAAAACAAAGCAATTTTAAAAACTAGAATAATTACTAACTTGGTATTTACAAGTATCTTTTCACATTTCCTTTTTATTTTACCATTTTTTCCATCTATATTTCATATCTCTTCGCAAAAGAAAGATATCCTTAGTTTCATAGAAACGCACATTTGAGACTCCAAATAAATATTAATAATTTATATACAATACATTTATTTAAAGCATTCCTAACTACTCCGCAAGGGCATATAAATATATTTGATTTTTTATTCTAATCAGAATCGTATTAGCATGATGTCATTTCACTGAAATTTCCACCATGTCGCATTCGCATTCTTCTCCATGCACAGCACATAAACCAACTCATGTCATATAGTAAAACACATGCATTTACATACCAAGAGTTATTAGACTTATACATATATATTTCAATATCAATATCAAATCTGTAGCCAATCTATATAGAGCATTTCGACGCTTTCCGTTTCGATGTTCAAGTACTAAACTAATCCATCGATTAGGCAACATTGTTCATATCAATTGCTTGGAAACGGCTTCAGTTCACATAGCAACTAGCTCAATATTCATAATTTATGTATATCTACTCTCGTCTGCGTCTGCGCTAATCACAACAACATGTTCGATCAATCCAGATTTTCAAATACTTTCTCATAGCTAATATATAATGCTGTTTCTAGCTGGCTTCCTGTTAAATATTGACCAATAAACGTCTACTCTGTGATCTCTTTTCCCGTTTTATGCGCTCTCTCTCTCTCTCTTGTCTCCCCTCTCTCTCTTTCTTTCTCTCTTTCTCTCTTTTTTCTCTATATGTTCTCTTTTTCTCTTCATGTAAAATAACTCGTGTTTCGATTCGTTCTCTTCCCAATGTGCTGAAACTTGCGATTCGAAATGAAATCATCTGCAATCCATGTCTTTCAATGTCTCTCTGTGTGTGTGTCTGTCTGTGTGCCTATGCAATAATTGTCTGTATGTGTGCCCTTGTAACCCCCGCCTGTACTAATACACTAACCGAAAACAACAACCACAACAACAACAACAACCAACACAATCAAAAACCAATGTAAATTGAAAAACCAAAAACAAAAACGAAACCAAATTGAAATTCGCACACAAAATTAAACTTGAATTGAAATTAAAACTGAAATTGAATATGAAATTGAAAATGAAATTGAAATTGAAACGAGAAGCGCGGAACAATACAACTGTACAATTTACAGAGCACAACCATGCCCCTCCTGTCACTCAACTCGCATAATCTGCCGCCTGGCGGCTCGACCAGCTACTCGGCCCTGGGCCTGAGCGGCGGCAGCGGCGTAGTCGGCTCCTCGCTGACCCATCCCACCATGAGCAACATCAACATGCTCGACACGAGCGCCCTGCTTGGCCTGGGACCGGCCGGCGGTGGCATCACTGGCGCCACATCTCTCTACGGCCTGAGCGGTGGCGCCACCGGCGCCCTGGGCAGCACCTATGGCCCGCCGTTTATGGATGCTGCATCGAGCGCCTCGTATCCATTCACGTCGGCCGCACTGCGCCAGGCCACCAAGATGAAAATGCTGGACGAGATTGATATACCGATGACGCGCTATGGCAATCGCAGCTCACCGTGCTCGCCCATTCCCGTGGGCCACAGCAGCTGGGGCCTGGACGAGTTCACCGATGGCCTGGGCGCCTCCCTCATGCACAATCGCAGCGGCCTGGCGCTGGGCGCCCTTGACCTGGACAGTAAGCACAGCCATCGATGTCACTTCTGTGATCCGCATTCTAATGTTCCTTTTGCTCTTCCTTTCAGCTCGCAATCATGGGCTGAACGGCGCCAGTGAGCCGCAGGTTGACATGTTGGACATACCTGGCAAGGGACGCTGTTGCGTCTTCATTGCGCGCTTTCCCTATGATCCGCCAGAGTAAGTGAACCTGAACTTGGGCTAGATTCTCATAGATTGACCTACAATTTCTCTCTCTCTCTCTCTCTCTCTCTCTCAGGGAGGCTGAGGGCGAGCTGTCGCTCTGCGCCGGCGACTATTTGCTGGTGTGGACCAGCGGCGAGCCGCAGGGTGGCTATCTAGATGCTGAGCTCTTGGATGGACGACGCGGCTTAGTGCCCGCTTCGTTTGTGCAGCGACTTGTGGGTGAGTAACTGAACTGGAGCCAACAATTGAAACAATCGAAACCCACTCACTTTCGTCTGTTCATTTCGTTTAGGCGACGATCTGCTGGAGTTCCATCAGGCGGTGTTGTCCACATTGCGCGACGCCGAGGATGGCTCCATGCAGTGCGACACAACGTCGCTGCCTTCCTTGCCGCCGCACAACCCATTGCTCACACACACGCACGAGGAACTGGCACGTTTGAGTGAGACGCACACCGATCTGGAGCACGACCAGGACGACATTAGCGATAATGGTAACTATACACGCTCCCATTGCTTGCCACGTTCCATTCTTTAATCTCTTTGGTTTGGTTTGGTTTTTGTGGCCACTCGAATGCGTCCTCTGCGTTGGCAAACGTGAGCATAACGACCTTTGAATACCCTAACTGTAGAGACGCACTGGACTAGGCTAGCAGCAATAGATCATTAGGTCTCATTGATTCAACTCAAATACTAATCCAAATATTACTCTTCTCGTCCGGCCTGCTCTTTCCCTCTTTCTCCATCTCTGTCTCCCTCTCTCGGCCACATCAGTTCCAGCTCCGAAGCACTTGACGCTGGAACGGCAGCTTAACAAGAGCGTGCTCATTGGCTGGTCGCCACCGGAGCCGGTGGGCTACAATCTGATTGACAGCTATCACGTCTATGTAGATGGTGTGCTCAAGGTCACGGTGAAGGCCAACGAACGCACACGCGCTCTGATTGAGGGCGTCGACTCCACGCGGGTGAGTCTCGAGTGATGCAATGCATCATCATCATCGTCTGCTCTTCTTCTTCTATATTTGGCATATTGTCTTTTTTTTTCGTTTAGCCGCATCGCATCAGCGTGCGGAGCGTTACGCAAACCCGTCAGACGTCCAGGGACGCCGCCTGCACAATGATCATTGGGCGAGACACTTCGCACTTGGGCCCCTCGGCGGTGCGCGCCTCGCACATAACGTGTTCCTCGGCGGTTATCTCATGGCTGCCAGCCAACTCCAACCACCAGCACGTGGTGTGTGTGAACAATGTGGAGGTGCGCACCGTCAAGCCGGGCATGTATAGGCACACAATAACCGGGCTCGCGCCCAGCACCCAATACCGGGTGACTGTGCGCGCCAAGCACTTGCGTGCGGTTGGCCAGCAGACGCCGCAGGCACCGGGCCGACCCGGGCAGGAGGAAGCACCCGGCGCCTATGCCGATTTTCGCACACTGACCAAAGGCTTGCCTGATCCCCCACAAGACATCCAATTGGAGGCTGGTCCTCAGGATGGCACCATTCTGGTGACATGGCAGCCGGTTAACCGACCCACGTCCACGGGGCCCGTAACCGGCTACGCTGTGTACGCCGATGGTAAGAAGGTGACCGACATCAACTCACCTACGGGCGATCATGCACTCATCGACATCGGCAAGCTGGGCGTCTTCAATCCCCGGGCCGTCACCATACGCACCAAATCTCGCGATTCACAGTCGGCGGACAGTGCACCCATCTTAATACCAAGTGAGCGTCCCCAAGTAATCTCCATTCGAATTGGAGCTACTAAGTCTTCTCTCTCCCTCTGTAGACAACGTGCGCAATGCTGTCGCTCGCCGGGGACCAAATCAAATGGGCATGGGTCCGCAGCTGCCGCAGCAGGGGCTCCACGGCATGCCCATGCAGCAGCATCAGGGCATGCCCGGACAGCAGCCGCTCATGGGGGTCGGCCAGCAGGATCACACGCAGTACGATCCCAATCAGATGCAGCAACAGCAGCAGCCGGGCCAGCTGCCGAACCAGCAGCCGGGTCAGGCCCAGCCGGGTCATCAGGTTAGTGTGGGCGCCGCACCCAAATGTCAGCCAATGGGCCAGACCTGCGTGCAGATCTTCGCTTAGCTCTGGCATTCACTGTATATAAATAATGTTCTGTGAACTCGTTTTGTTTTTCGTCTAACTGTACTTATTATTTCAAATGCAATTGGTTGTGAATTTCCCGAAATTTCTCTTTAAACATCCATCCTCTATAAGATTGTACATAAAGCTCTACTGAATGTAGATCGTACTCTATCTCAATTTGAATGCCAATCCCATACTCCCCATTATGATTTGTACATATGATATTCAAATGGAAAATCCAATGAAAATACCCCATACATATACATACCTATATACTATATACTTAACCAACTTATGTTCAGTTTGTTTTTGGTTGAAACGAACATCAACTTGATTCCGACTTCATAACGGATGTTTTAAAACATAAAAGACAAAAAAAGAAAACCAAAACAAGGAAGAGTATTCTATCAGCTACATATATACTTTCTATATCTTTCTGTATCTATTATGAATTGCCTTTACTACTCTACTTACTTCTCTCAACCTATTTTCTATGAATTGTTTTGCAATATAACCACATTATATACATACACTATATGAAATATTAGACAATTGCACAAAAATTCACACACAAAATTTTTGTAAATGAAAAAAAATAATGAACTGCGTTGCCGAGATCTATGAGAAAGTATATAAATATACATATATTATAAGAACCAACAAAGCAATTTGAATTGAGACCTACAACTAAATATCCCTAAAATCCAAGAAAAAAAAAAATTAAGAATTTGTATGTATGTAAATTGATTATTATTAATATTTCGGTTCTCTGTGAGATGACGTATGCCGATTTCCTAATGCTAGTGTGTTTGATTTGAGTCTTGATTTTGGATTCATGAATTTTGTTTTCCATTTGGTTTTTGTTTTGTATTTTATTTTGTTTTAGTACAGTTCACAAATAGCATGCTCCAAAAACTTTTGCTGCCAAATGCAACAAACTTAATTGAGTTACTCAGTTTGAACAATAGAAACTTTTCTTACTTCAATAAGTATTTTGAGCGGAGTTTGATTAAGGAAAAAAATAATTTAAAAAAAATAAATAAAAAAAAAAATACGCAATGCAACGAACAATTTTAAACCAAAACAAGTTATACATATTCATTTTCATTATATGAAACGATACCGTTAACCCGTTACCATACCGAATCGAATCGAATCGATAACAGCCCGACGGAAGCTCCGGCTTGTTAGGTGGCCTGCTCGGTGGCCTCTTCTCGAAACCCACACAGAGTCAAGTGAACCAGAATGTAAGTTATACCCACAACATCTCTCACATACGCATTCGTATTAAACACACACACACACGTACACACATACACACGTATATACACACACACACACACTAACATATAAGTTGTTGCCTAGAGTAAAAACTCATCTTAAGAGTTCGCTGCATTTTTAGTAATACGTATCTCAATTACTATAGCTTATACTAATTATAATTATAGTACTATAATTAACTAAAACAAAACAAAAACCAGTAGAACTATGCTTTCTTGAGCTTAAATGAAATGCTAAGTCCGAAAATACTGAGTTATATATTATTTAAATGTTTTCTTCAGTTCATCAAATTTTTCGTTTAGCAAATTTTGTGTTTTTGTTAATTTTGAAAAATATATTTGCCTATTTTTGAGGGCAAACTTTTGTCTTTAGGGAAGCTGTAAAAGTCGTGAATGAAGTGTTAAGCTTTTGCATGGGTAGATAGGATACTTGAACAATATCTTATCGATCGTATCCACATACTAAGCAACTACCTTAAGATTAGTTGAAAATGTTTTAAATAACTTTACAAGCGACACTCAATTATGTATATAAAATCGATTTGAAATGCTTCTTAACTGGGATAGTCTCAGCGCCTACTAACTATATACGAAATGCATCAACGAAAAATAAACCTCTTGCTATATATAATATGAGTACATATATATACATGTATATATTGATTTATGTATGTATATATATGTGTGTAAGTATGCAAATAAATTAGTATTCAGTAGTAGGTTTGCAGTTCATATTAGCGACATGTGTATACATACAATCCACAACACCTACAAGAGAAACCGAATCTTACATCTACCTAGATACAATTTCAACTCAAACTCGTGCTTTCTTATTTCCAACAGACACTTAACAAACTAGCTTCGTATTTGCCTTTGACCTATCAGCCATATAGCATTATGATTTCCCAGCTGTCGTATTTAGACTCCTGCTTAATGCGCCTCTCTTAATATACAAATCTATATATTCACACACATACACACACAGCTATGTATAGCTAGCTATACTTAATACTATTTAGTCTATATACATATGTAATTAAATAACCTCTTTAGTTGTGGCGAGCCTTAACGCTATACGCCGACGCCCGCACATCGCTAAAGAACTTACCTCTCTATAGACAATGTGAATGAAAAACAGAGTACAATCTAAGAACAAACTATGCAAAAATCTAAAAAGAACGAAAAAATGCTAACAAAATTTCAAATTCATTTAAATTAATTCAAATTCATGCGCGTGCTATCCGCGATCGATAACTTATCGATATGCAGGGCTATCCGCCGACTGCACCACAGCGCGGCATGGTGCCAGGACGACCCCAGGGACCACAGCAGCAGCAGCAACAGCAGCAACAACAGCTGCAGCAGCAGCAGCAGCAGTACGGAGCGCAGGGAGCACGCTTTCGTGGCCCAGTGCCGGGCCAGATGCAAGGTCAGATGCACGGCATGCAGGGTCAGATGGCCGGACAAATGCAGGGTCAGATGCCCGGCCAAATGCCTGGCCAGATGCAGGGGCACATGCAAGGTCAGATGCAGGGTCAGATGCAGGGTCAGATGCAGGGTCAAATGGCGGGCCAACTGCCTGGCCAAGTGCAGGGTCCGCGTGGTGCCCTCACCCAGCAACAGCAGCAGCAACAACAGCAGCAGCAACAGCAGCAGGCGCAGCAGGGCCAAATGCTGCCCGGCCAGCAAGTGGGGCCGCAGCAGCAGCAGCAAATGCCCGGGGCGCAGAAGAAGCCGCGCTACTTTGTGGCCATGTTCGACTACGATCCATCCACAATGAGTCCTAATCCAGATGGGTGCGACGAAGAGCTGCCCTTCCAAGAGGGCGACACAATCAAGGTAAGCTCTTTGCAATTTTGCCGTTACACAGAACCACCCAAAACACTTTGCAGCCGCGTCGCACCAAGCCAGCAGCGAACTCGTGCCGTTTGAGCGTCGACGAAACACGAAAGGGTAAAGCAAACAGAAATCAGAAAACAGCAATCAGCAATCAGCAATCCAGCAATCTCTATCTATATCAACAATCAGCATCAGCTAATCTGGAAAGCAGTTAAAGCAGCGCTTGCTCTGAATTGGATGCCGAATTGGAACGTTGCCAAGAATTGGCTGCGCGCTTGCCGCTAATTGAATGATTGAATGTTGTGCATGTTTTTCCTTCGACAATAAATATATTATACGATCAGACTACCCACCCCTAACATAACCTAACATACTACAGTTGAGATTGTTATCGATAAGTTTAAGCATATCTACATCCATATCCATGATAATACCAGCAATAATCCCCGATACAGTAACTAACATATTTCTATTACCCAAACACTAAGTAGACGTTGTTCTCTTCTATCTCTCTCTAATAGTTCCATAACTAAACGTTAAGTTAGCGATATGCACATATACATACATACACTATCAAATAGCCTTATACTCTCTATATATATATATATATATACACATATGTATATATCGGAATGCTCGACTCTCGATCTTGCTAACAGTCGCTCCTTCTCTTTTACGGTCTGTGGCGCAGGTGTTTGGTGATAAGGACGCCGACGGCTTCTATTGGGGCGAGCTGCGCGGCCGTCGCGGCTACGTGCCGCACAACATGGTCAGCGAGGTGGAGGACACCACTGCCCAGATGACCGGCGGGCAGCCAACTGTAGGGGGCACCGGCCAGGTGATGCCCGGCCAGAATGCGCCGCAGCAGAGCATGCGTAATGTGAGCCGCGATCGCTGGGGCGACATCTATGCGAATATGCCGGTGAAGCGAATGGTCGCCCTCTACGACTACGATCCCCAGGAGCTAAGTCCGAATGTGGATGCCGAGGTGAGTGAGCGGCAAGCGACAAAACTCTCTGCAAATTGAGTATTCTCTCAACTCTCCCCTAGCAAGTGGAATTATGTTTCAAGACGGGTGAGGTCATACTCGTTTATGGTGATATGGATGAAGATGGTTTCTACATGGGCGAACTGGACGGTGTTCGGGGCTTGGTGCCATCCAATTTTCTGGCCGATGCGCCCGATCAGTACAACAATCAAATGGGACCTGGCGGCGCCGCCGGGCGTGGCAGTCTCGCTCAACGGGGCAGGGGTCAGGGGCCCGGGGCCAGAGGGCCGCCGCCGCCGCCCCGCGACAACATGATGCCCGGCGTGGCTGGGCAGCGCGGCGCACAAGGCAAAAGTAAGTGGGCTTTGTGCCGATCAATCCGATCCATCAATTTAATTGCATTCTTTTGTCTTTGTTTTTTTTTTTCAATTAATTTCCTTATAATTTCGATACAATTTTTACTAAATATGATACTAAAAAAAGAAAAAAAAAACTTATTCGACCAGCAATTACAGGCTTAATATTTATGATTTTCACTTTTCGTTTCAATTAAAATACAAAACAAGAAAAAAAGTTGATAAAGAAGGAATATCTCAAAGCAAAAAATACATTATACACTTTTAAAGATAATAAAATATGCAGGTTTTTCAGACAACACAAAAACAAGCAGGATGATATACATATATATAGTATATAGCAACTATTCTGAAACCAGCCACAAGATTCTGTTGCTTATTTTTGGTTATATACGTAATATCAATCTGGAATCAGCGAATTATAATAAACACGATATATTGTCATACTCCAAAAAGAAACAACCAAAGAATACAAATTTCGTGACGACACAGAAAATTCTTTCACTCTTCTCTCTTTCTGTCTAACTCTTTCGCAAAAAACTTCAACAACAAAAAAAAAAAAAAAAAAAGATACATTCTTAAAATTATAAATATTTATAACAAACAGTTACAGATGAATAACTCAATACAATTTCTGAACGCCGCTAATTTATTTACAATATATATAAATATATATACATATATATTTCTTTTGAATCTGTTATAATTCCGCAGAACTTTTTATAAATTATTCCAACATTTCTTTATAACTAATTCAATTGTTTATGTTATCTGAAGTTTTCTTTTTGACTTTGTAAAATATTTCATAATTTCAGCACCAGTCAGAAACCTATTTTGGTTTGTTTAATGATTTTGGTTTTTGTTTATTTTCATTTCTCGGTTCGAAATCGAATTATATAATCCTTAACAAATACAATATATAGATACATAGTTGTTGTTCTTGTTGTTGTATACACAAACTTTATATTAACTTTCTCGCTCTCGCTTTCTCTTTGGTTCATTTTCGTTCTCAATATGATTTGAAAATTGAAGTTTTTCTTCTCTTTATGCACATAAAATGTCTTTCATTTACGTTTTTGTTGTTGTTGTTCTTTTCTAATGCTGTCTATACACAATCTTTCTTAACCTCAACTTTTGTCTCTTGTCTTGCGTGACTTTCTCTAGCCTTGCAATTTTCTAGATGGTCTCTTGCATGTCAATTAAATCCAGTAAACTTATAAATATATTTTCAATTATATTTATACATATAAATATACATATAATTTATTTATTTTCCTTTAATTTAGTTGAACCGTTTATTTGCATAAAACAGAGACTAGTTTCTTGCACCTGATTGCCGAATGAACTGTAATTCCTTAGTTCTTCACCGATCAAATATTATAGAGTTTACAATGAAAAGAACGTCTATTACAACCCGCGATGCTGTACATATCACGAAACTAGTTTTAGGATCCAATTTCAATGTAATACATATGTATGCGTATGTATATGTATGTATGTTTCCAGTCACTCGATGTACCCCCAACTGCAATACATTCGAGGATATACCTTTTCAGCCAGACTATATTATAATTCAGAAGAGATGAGAAAATAACTCTTCAAGTCGAGTTTACTAAACTTTCTTTCCGGTTTCTATGCCCCCTATGTGCTTTTTACAACAATTATATATATGTATATACCTCTTTATTTAATTTTCTTCTTCTTACTTAATTATATGTATATCTACTTTTCTACTGGTTTTGAATGTTTGCTCTTGTTTGTTTGCCAATTAGCCTATTTCAATATTTTGGATAAACATTCTATTAATTTTCTTTTGTTCCTTGGTTTCCTTAGAGATATAACAACAAAAACAACAACACCGCAGGGGCTTAAAGCACATATACCATATATACAGCTCTCTATATATATATCAAAATGACTTTCAATTGAATGACGAGCATTCTCTTTGTAATCTATGTACATTTCTTCCGTGTAAAATATATTTTTAAAAAACGTTTTTAAAGTCTTAACCCTATAAATATAATCATATACTAATATATATGTATCTACAATATCATGCGAGCCATCATCCAAGTGGCCGTAATTGTTCAATGTGTAATTAATTTATTCATCAAAAACCTAAGATACGCTGCCCCGAGCAGTTTTTTATAGGGATTTGATTTTCGTAAGACCAGACGCCATGCGCAAAAGGTAATATAATTTTTAATGCTACTTACATACATATGATGTTCATCAATTAAGTAACTATTACTAACTACTACAACAACGTATATACATATATGTACAATAACTCTTAATTAAATTGAATACGATTTTGACTCTTGCCAATGTTCCTAGCGATCCATTACGTTTTGGCGCCTTTTACTCCGTTTTGTATTGTGTTTTCGAGAAATCGTTTTGCAAGCAACCAAAATTTCTATTTCGATTTCAATTTCAATTACCATTTTCAATGCCCCCCGTAAAAATGTTTCAAATTAATTTTTGTTTTTATTCTCGATTGGTTTGAATTTATTATTTGGATTTTCTGATTGTATTTTTGGATTTTTGTTTTCAAACTGCGGTGAATTATGTCAAAAACAAATACAACTTGAAACTGATTCTCGGACCCACGCGATTACGTTAAATCGAGTCGATATATTCTATATAAGTAAGAGTAAACCTTACCAGGCAGCAGCTGTAACTGAAACTTTGAGACTACTACATTCAATTAGAATTGATTTGATTTTATTTTGGTTCGATTTTGGTTTATTTTAATTTTTATGTTTTTTTCTTGATTTCATTTACTACTACAACTTCTTTCAAATAATTTTTTGTAATGGTCTGCTGTGGTAAATGTGAAGTCTTTATGTTATATTCGTTGCTATAGATGCTCGCCCTGCTTCCCCTACACTGTTAGACAACACGGGCCACCCTGCCCCCGATCACCAAACGCAGGTAAATACTCTTTTCTCTTTTGTTTTCTTTTTTCGTTTCATATAAATACTTGAAGAAAATTTAAAAGAAAAAGAATTACAATAATAGCAAAACTAAACAAAATCTCATTTTTGAATATAAATATAAATGCTTAAAAGAAATATACAAACGAATACTCAAAAGAAAAAATTAAGAAAGCGCAAAAAAAAATATTTATATATAAATAACAACACCTCATACGCAACAAAAACTATAATTATTAATACTACAAGTACTACTACTACTACTACTACTACTACTACTACTACTACTACTACTACTGCTATTACTACTACTATTACTATTACTACTATTTCTACAGCTGCTATCTCTGTCGCTCATTTGAATTCGACTCTCTTTCTTGAAAACAATCGATTGTGTTATACAAACTTCATTCATAACACACACGCACACAATACGTTCTAGAGAACACACACATTATATCAATGCTGATCAGTCCGAACACTTTTATAATCATCTGCCATAGCTTATACTTAGAGGACAACTCAATACCTACACGGTTCATAAGCCTATTTTTGTAAATTCTTTTTAAGCATATATAAATATTATATATGTATATACATATATATATTGATCGTCCATTCGCTCGCTCGCTCGTTCGCTCTATCTATCTTAATTCTGTCTAACTCTGTCTATATACATATATCTAAATATATCTGTCAATATGTATACATATATATAAACCCATTCACTATCTATATATATACTTCTGATCTATGTTTGTGCGTATATCCAATGCTCTGATAATCCATACAAAACGCTTACAGTACAGTACATGAACAATAATTTGCTTACCATATAAAAGCGCGATATATATAATACATATGTATATTTGAGAAACAATCTATATGTATATGTATAGCTAGCAACATGTTTATAGAATCCCGTGTAGTACAGTGTATAAATCCAACAGAACAACAAAGCCAACAGAATACCACATTGAAAGCATTATAAATATATATATACATACATATATACGATACGATACGACACACACCTGTACAGCAATCAATCAGCCAATCAATCAAGCTCCTTACCAACATTCTGTATGATGTTCAGCAAGTACATATACTTAGCACATGATATTAGCGTAATATACAATATATACTAAATGTGTGTGTGTAACGGATCCTCAGATCTTAGCTTCAGACATCATGAACAACTCCAACAGCACCATCAATCAATCAATCACATTTACATACTTATGTTATTCAATTTAAATTTCAGTTATTATACCACTTATTTCACTATTTTGTTTTGTGTAAAAGTTTCTTCAAAGTGATTTTTCGAATAACGTTTCACACTGGCGCCAATATCTCCAATATAATTAGGCATACATCAGATCTTTAGCTTTAAGTCTTCTTTTCTTATTATTTCCTATATTCGATTCAAAAGATATCGAATGTATATATATATACTGACAATTGCTGAAAGTACTCAAAACACCCAATACTCAATACATAATATACCAAATACGATATTTACATATGTATATTGCTGATAAGATGTAATAACCCGTATACTCAAAACTCAAAAATCAAAACTCGTACTCGTAATTAACTTTATATAAACAAAAAAAAAATCTTCTGATTTTTTGTATTGTTTTTTTTTTATTTTTTTTTTACTGCGTATACGCTACTAATTACATATATATTAATTGCTACTATTACTATATGAAATATTGGATGTGATGTGTAAACAAATTTCTATGTGATTCACTGTATGTGTAAACTATTCGATTTTGATTTCGAATCATTAAATATTATTTCGAATTATCTCTTCGTTTCGTTCTCTTGTATGCCTTTTGCTTTACCCTCCATTGCCACATCGATAATTTTCTGTTTCGATTCACTAAAAGGTCTGCTTATATTTTGGTTTTGCTTAACACTCTTTTTGTTTATCGGGGGAAGATAAAATTACGGATCTTGCGAAAGATTGAATGAAACTTAAATCAGAAAGTTTCTAATGGGGTTTCAACAGCATTTAAAACACAGATACACCCACATTAGCACACATACATACATACAGAATGGTTAACATTTAAATATTAAGGTAGTGTACATAACTAGAAATCGCTAAAGTCAATATTATTGAATAGAGCTCGTCGTAGGTTTATTTTACCTAATTTTCTGATTTTCCCCTAGCTTCGAGTACGCAAACCAAGTTTATTTCATAGATATATATATTTATATATATATATTTTTTTATATTTGATTTATTTTTCTCGTTTACTGCAAGCGTATGCCATAATGTCATGGGCATCATTATTATATTTTGTTTTAATTGAAAAACGTTGCTAGTTCTACATAAATTTTCAAATTTCAATCAAAAGATCCCGAGCACAACCAATGTTGACAAACTTGTACTGTCATTCGTTTTGATTGAATGGAGAAAATTGCCAAAGTAAAAAAAAAAAAAAAAAATCTCAAGAATCAAATGGAATATTAAAGTCCTACGATCTAATGATATCTCAATCCATATATACACTATGTATTGAATGCATTGCATTTGTGGGCAAAGTTTATATTTTGAGCTCATTTCGTAGCGATTACCGTTGTTCCGAGATCGACTGAACATAATCTCAACACAATTTTGATGAGGTTTCTGCCACATATATACTGACATATATCTATACCATATACCCAAACTAGCATATATATATACGATTCGTTGCGTAGTAGTTGAACGTAGCTGCAATTATGTTACTTACTAACCAATCAAATCCAACTCCTCTTTCTCTCAGCGGCAACTACTACTAACTAAATACTTAGAATCATACCAAAAATGTTTTTTTTCCTCACATATATATTATTGTTAAATGAATACGCTAAACTCATGACAAATTTTGATAAAGATCGTACGAAAAGTATTACGAATATAATGCGAATACCCATAAAACCCATAAAATACGATTATTTAAATGATTAGTTGCCATTTATTTGAAGATCTATTTAACGAGATTGGAATCACTCGACTAATTCATTGTATTTTGGTATATATTCCAAAAACGGACAACTTGCAGATGATCGGTCGCGTTGGTAATGTTGGCATGCAGCAGCAACAACTCCAGCAGCAGCAGCAGCAGCAACAGCAACAACAGCAACAACCTTATGGTCAGCAACAGACGCAAATGGGACAACAGCAGCAGCAGCAGCAGCAGCAACAGCAACAGCAACAAATGGGCATGGGACAAAGTGGAATGATGGGAATGGGCCAACAGCCAATGGGCATGATGGGCGGACAGACGCAGCAACAGCAGCAAATGGGACAACAGATGGGCGGCATGGGCGGCATGGGTCAAATGGGACAGATGGGACAAATGGGACAGATGGGACAAATGGGAATGGGTCAGCAGCAGCAACAGGTGCCTGTGACGACGCAGGCGCCAACGGGCGGACTCTTCTCGGGGGCAACTAGCCTGCTCTCTGGTGCTACTTCGGCTGCCACCGGTGGTCTATTTGGTTCGAAGCAACCGCCCAAAACGGATCCAATGCAACCACCTGGCGGTGTGCAGCCAACGCAGCAACAAGCAAACGCCTTCGGTGCCCAGCAGATGACGCCGGGCATGCAGCAGCCCGGGATGCAGCAACAGCCGGGCATGCAGCAACAACCCGGCATGCAGCAACAGCCCGGCATGCAACAACAACAACAACAAGTGCCACCGCAAGCCCAGCCACCGCCTCAAGGACCGGGCGCCGGTCTGCTGGGCGGCCTCAAGGGCATCGCAGCAGCGGCGCCCGGCGGCGACGTCCTCTCGAAAGGCAAAGATCTGTTTGGTAAATTCGGGTTCGGCTTTGGCAAATAACCCTGGTCATTCCATAGGGTCCTGTTATATTATTCGTAGATTAGATCTATTATTATGATTATGCTATTGATTACGATTACTAAGCTAATATATACATATATGTATGTACATATATACATATACGTATACACAATTATACAAAGATAAAGTTAAAAGAAAAATGAAAATGGAAACGGAAACGGAAATGGAAACAAATCAAAGAATCCCCCAGTCCACTGTGGGCCTGTGTAAATGATGTTGTACTGTTGATATGATGAATGCAACTAATAGAGCTAATGATAATATTTTTTATTAATACAATTGATAGAAATATTGATAATACTAAAAAGCTAAACACAGACAGGAACAACATCAACCAGAAGAAATGCATAAATTGTTGTATAATTGATTTAATATATTAACAAATTTCCAATTTAAGTAAATTGCTAGCAAAGATAATGAAATTGAGATATATAAATATATATGAATTGAAAATACAGAAAGATGACAAATATACAAATGCATGAAGAGCTCCATTGCGACTTCACATACACCCACACACACACACACACAAACACACACACATACTTATATATATATACATCTAATAAGGCAAATGATAAAGGCGGAGAGGAAAAATACATATATTATATACATACATACATACATTATATTTACAAATTATTTGTTAACGCACATTGTTAAATTTGCTACTGTTGCTGACCAGTTTATAAATAAATACAAGTAAAATTAAAACCAAAACAACTTAAAAATAAATTAATAAATAAAAACTAAAAGTGAAATTCAGAAAACATACACATATTATATATATATATATATTTAAAATATATTAAAACTAAAAACAAAAACTACAAAAAAATGAATAAAACATTTAAATGACATTTATAAATCAAAGCCTAAGAATAGGAATGGAAAGTTGAGCAATATTAAAGGCGATGGACACACCAGAACTATGCAAAAAAAACCAAAATATATAAAAAAAATACTAATAATACTAACTATACATAAAAAATAAAAAAAGGTAAATGGTAAACAAATTATGAACTAAACATATATATACGCATATACTACATATACATACACACACATGCATACACATATGCAAATTTATATACACATATATATATATCTGAACCTTAATTTCACATGCCTCTAAATTCCTTCAACTTTCATTGGAGCAGCAGAAGAACTAGCCAAAAGCGAAAATCTATATCGAATTCGATATCGAAAATTCAAAAATTAAAGCCCAGCCACAAACACCGTCTCTCCGTTGCCCAAGTCCTGCAGCTCTCAAGCGTATATCAACTAAACTATAAACAAAGAGCAAAATAGAAAATATAAAGTAAGATATGGGGCATACAAATATACAAATATATAAATATATTAAATACAAATTTCTGACGAAACACCTGAAAGTAATCGACAAACATACAAACGACCTACATAGATATACATATATACGCAACACATGCAACATGCAACATGCAACATGCAACATGCTTGGCAAATTCTTTCAAGTTTCTACTACATTTCTTTCCTTATTCTCAACTCTACAAATCAAACCTTCCAGCTATTTACTAATGACTATCCATTAAAAACTAAATACCTACATACATATTTACCTTAAAATTAAAAAACACAAAAACAAAAACAAAACAAATTGAAAATTTCATGATTGCTTTACTTAAATATTTAGATATGACTTAGCTAGTACAGTCCGTCATGTCAGTATGCGTACAACATTCCTTTTCATAATTGCTTTTACCTGTTCGACAAATACATGTTTCCTAATATTTAACAATTGCTTTAGTAACACATCAAGAATGAAAACACTTAAACAACAAATACAATGCGTACCTCTTGCTTTATGAAAACAGAAAGTATAAAAACATACAACTACAAAAATATATTTAAAAAAAAAAACAAAAAAAAAACAAAAAAAGCAAAAAATATTATCATAAAATGCAAAAGAAACTATAAACTTATATAAAAATGGAAAGGGAATATTGAAGAGATGTGCAACGGCCATAGAGAGAAATTGTGAATGAATCATTACTTTAAAATAGCAAGAACGTTTCTTTCAGTGCAGGAGTTCTTAACAGAATGGAAGAGATGGGGGTAGGGGAGAGAGAGAGAGAGCCAAAGGGAGAGGGAGAGATGCTCAGCCAGACCATAGCAACAACTACAATAACTAAATGTTATCACACAGCACAACACAGTTCAGAGCCCAAAAACTGTAAATTGTTAACTGACAAAAGTAGTCACACCATAGAGATACCCTATGTATACATATGTATGTGTACATCGGCATAAAAATAGTTGAATACGATTCCAGTCGATAGGCGACAAATCCACATGTTATATTTATACAACTAACACACACAAGCATACACATCCTTATATATAGTATATATATATACATATATACATACAAATATCTTAAATGTAACAAGCGTTAACTTTTCCCACGTAAATAATTTTTACCTTACAATCAAATCATTGTATTATTTAGCCACACAGCAGAAGAAGAATAGAATCGTTTTACACAGTTTAAGGCGGCGACATGGAACTTCGGCATATCCGACGTTTCTATACCCTTGCCCATCAGGTATATGTGGGAGAACCATTGAGAATAATTCGTGAGATCCGTTTCTATTTCTTATGAACTTGGCCAGAGTGAATGCATATGTACATATAGTCTAGTACGATTCAGCTATATCGAGGGGGGGACGTGCAGCAAGGGTATACCTATGTCAACCAAACACAAACACACACAGACACAGAGGCAGACACAAACTACTTAGACAAAGATTTACAGACAGTACACAATTTATTTAAAAAACAGTTTAAATCAAAAAGCTGTTCAACACAATTCAAGATAAATGATAAAGGCAAAGCAAAGGCAAAAAGAAAAACAAATGAAAAATTCATATGAAAATGAAAAACTACGCATTACGGAATGATAAACAAAATACAAACTAAATTGTTATACAGTATATTATACTTTTTCTATAACTTATAATTTCCTTACTGAATAACAAAACAAACAAAAGATAAAAAAAAAAAAAAAAAAAAAAAAAAAAAAAAAAAAAAAGAAAAAAAAAAAAAAAAAAAAAAAAAAAAAAAAAAAAAAAAAAAAAAAAAAAAAAACAAAAACAAAAAAGTGAAAAGAATAAAAATTAAATAACAATTTAAAGAAAATTAGATATTTAACTCGAGTTCGGCGTGTGAGTGACAGAAAAGAAATTTAAGAAACTCGGGCGCTTTTCTCATTGATTAGATGCAATATAGAGAATCTATTTCAGGATTATATATTTGTTTGGCTTACAGAAATGGAACTGGGATTACATTTGGCTTAAAGGAACGTTTTTAAATTTAAAGCAAATGAATGTCATAATCGGTCTTACAAAAGTCTTCAACTGGATCATATAACACTTTAATTGGATATTTAAAACAAGCTTGGGCAACACAACAAACAATCAACTTTGTAGTAGCTCAGATCCTTCAGATGGAGTCTCATCCAACCAACAAGAAATCTCATTAACTAATTTCTCTCTGTTGATTTCTAATATTCTGCAAGTTCCATTTTGTTTCTTTCTCGCCTCTCATTTAATATAACCTCATAATTCTCTATTCACATGAGAGCTTTACGTCTGTATGCAAAAATCTTATGCGCTTTTGAAACTGGAAATGATTAAAATCTAAAAATGCTAGTTAAGTGATATGCGACTTCATGGATTCAAAATAGTTACTGAAAGTAGATTTTGTGTTATCATGGATGATCATGAATGAAATACGTAGTGCCCTACCCGAGCTTAAAAAGTGTTAATTTTGTAAAGTGCTACGTTAGCCCACGTGCAGTCCATTAAATAGTTTTCTGCCTCGTACACAACGTGAGTTTTGCGAAACTTTATAAACAAATCTCAGGAACAGATGACTAGATAATACTAATATTTAGTTAATACGTGTGACGAGTTAGAACATCCCATTAAAATAACTTCCTTATTGAGCGCAACTACATTAGATAAAAGAGAATATTCTGATTCATCAATTTTGAAACGAGTGAGAATTGAAAGTACAAATATTTAGAGTAAAATATATTTTTAAATACACACCTCCTTCGTTCTCAGATCCATCCAAGCCTGACTCATATCAAATCGATATGATCAAGAATATTTTGTAAACTCATAAGCAAGCTTTCAGAGCCCGGCATATAATTGAACTTGCACAAATGGACATTTCTATATCTCTAGTTTATCAACCGAGAACTATCGCTGTGGCCTCCGCTAGATGGAATTAGAATAGAAATGTAGCATGCTTTACTCTCATTTTTTTACGACTTTTTGTGTTTTTTTATTTTTTATTATTTATTTGCATTTCACAGCTGACGTAAGAAAAGGAACTACGCTCGCTTGTGTGCGTCCACTTGAGCCGAGAGTAGAGTATTTAAGCAGAATACAATCAAGCAATAAAGCGCTATTAAGTAGTAGATCTGTTTGCTGAGTGGCTGCTGCGATAAACGCCAGAGGTTGACTTTAATTTATACATCTAAATTGCTATACGGCGGCTCATATAAGCGCAGAGTTATGAACAACATGCGCACGCGAGCCAGCGCCGACCGGGCACAGGTGGACGGACACACCTCTGACGCCAGAGCAATTAGAGCAATAAAACGAAAACAAAAACAAAAATAAAACAAAAGAAGAAGAATAAGAAAAAGAAAAACAAATTGTGACGTGAGTCAACATGGGCAGCGCCACACGTGGCCAGATACCGCCAGGCGGATGCTGGATATTGGAGATGTTTGACTACTGTTTGGCCTCCTGGGGGAAGAGCTCCTGGTCCTCGTTGCAGAACCGTATGTTGCTGGTGACGGGCAGCATCTGCTGCTGCTTGAGCGACATGTGCTGCAGCACCAGCACCACATTGTCGTTGGCCAGCTCCTTGGCCACGGCGTTCAGCATCTCCACGAAGGTCGCGTCGAACTGCATGAAGCGTGAGCATTGCACCACAATGGGAAAATCGTTGCGATACAGCTGACACGCGGCGACAATCTCCGTGCGCAGCATGTCCACGCCCGTGTAGAAAATATCCGACTGCGGCTCAATATGCACGTAGTACTGCGACTCCCACTGCAAAGCAAACGAAAGACGATTAAATATGGAAATGCCTTCGGCTAGCTCATGCGGAACGCACCTGCTTCAGGCTGACCTCGATGCGGGGATTGCCCAGGCGCAGCAGGATACAAATCATGCTGACCACGATGCCAAAGAGCAGGCCCATCTCAACGCCAGCGACCAGGCACATGACCAGACTGCCCGTCCAGCTGAAGAAGTCCTTCTTGTTGGTGCGCCACAGCTCCTTGATGGGCGTCAGGTCAATCTGGGCACAGCAGAAACATATATGAGCTATATACGTACATCTCATAGAGTATATTCGTTTAGCCTACCATAAAGACGACTGCTGCAATGAGCACAGCAGCCAGTGATGATCTGGGTATGTACTGAAAGTAGGGCGTCAAAATGGACAGCGCGGAGAGCACAATGAGACCCGTGTAGATGCCAGCCATGGGCGTGCGTACGCCCGACGCCTGACTCACGGCGGAGCGCGTGAAGGCGCCGCAGGTGGGCATGGCGCTGAAGAAGGAGCCGGCCAGATTGCACAGGCCCAGTGTCAGCATCTCCTGCGAGGCATCCAGTTTGCCATCCTTGACTAGAAGACCATTATATATGATTATGATGAGTAAATCAGTTCAATTGCTCGTATTACGTATACGCACCGAAGGCCTTGGCAATGGCCACATTCGCCAGGACAGCCACAATGGGCACCAGAATAACGCCGCTGCCCAGCTCGTGCAGGATGTCGGTGAAGACATAGGTGCGATTCTGATGCTCAAAGGCGAAGGGCGGCAACTTGATGCTGGGCATGGCCGAGGCGACCTTTGAGGAGAGCGCAAAGGGCACTGCCTCCATTGAGCTCTTGTGCACCCATATGTAAACCATCAGACCGCTGAAGAAGACAATCAGGGCATTGCGCGAGATGCTGATGTACCAGAGCACCTTCTTCAGGCGCTGCGTCAGCGGCGTATCCTGCTTAAACTTGACCTGGGACAACAGCTGCAATGTGCAACAAAGCATCCCGTTAGACTCTCAACCAACCCCGATCGATTCGACTTACCCGCAGTGCGAGCAGCAGGCAAATGCACGTGATGCCCAGAATGGCGTCCGACAAGTGAATATTGGTGAAGTAGTCTCCGATCGAGGGCACCTTCTTCAGGCGAATGCCGAGCAGACTCTTGATCTGCGCCAGCACCACAATGACAGCGGTGCCGGACGTAAAGGCCTTGGTCACGGGCGCCGGTATGAAGCTGACTATGAAGCCCAGCTGAAAGACGCCCATGAGCAGCTCCACAAATCCAGCCAGAAAGGCCAGCACGATGACTATCTGCACGGGCTTGTCCGCGCAGAACTGCAGCGTCATGATGGCCATCAGGCTGGTGGGGCCGATGGACACCTGCGGTATGGTGCCAAAGAACACATAGATAATGGAGCCAATGAAGGCCGAGTACAGGCCGTACTCCGAGGAGAGGCCCGCCAGCGCCGCGTAGGCAATGCTCTGCGGTATGATGGTCAGGCCGAGCGTAATGCCCGCTATAAGATCCGCGAAGGCCTGCGATCGATCGTAGCTGCGTATCCAGGTGAGTATGAAAATGCGACGCAGCAGCCAATGCGCTTGCTTTGGGGCACTGTAACGGCTCTGCATGTCCATCTCGAGGCTGTGCGAGAGCTCGTAGCAGTCGTCGCCATTCTTTTCCGTATACTTGACCTCGCCATCCCCATTGGCTGCAATGAGAGTTGAACAATGGACATACATATAGATATACATATCTGGTATCTGTTAGGTATATCTAAAGACTTTCTGCTCGTACGATCGTATATTGTGGCCACTGTAGCCTCTGGCCGCTTGCCGCCAGCTCCAATGCGGCCCTTTGCGATGCTAAACGTGCGCTTCCACGGCCAACGCATTTCGTACTGATTCTCGATTTTTGCCCAATGGGCGAATTGTAAACGCTTTAAGCCTCATTTTATTTGTTATTCGGCCAGGGGAATTTTTAGCGCTAAGCAAGCCGTATAGCCCCTTCGGAAATGCGATATTGAACCCGGCAGCCGAGCTCGAGCTGTTTCGCGTTGATTCTTCTTTTTTTTCGGCTTTTGTTTTGCTTTTTTCAATTGTGTGAAATCGTAATTAAGTATTTCTCGTCATGCACGGCACGAGTGTAGGATCGAAATTATACAAATAAGTATAACCACAAAGCTTTGACACGCCGCAGACTCTATACACTAACTAGATCTTATGGAAGTCACGCTTAGAGAAGGCGCTGCTGTAATTAGAGATCTGATTGATTGCATTCTAATATTCTAGTACAAGTGCCACTGAATGAATGTCTTGTAGATGAAACGTATACGAATATTCCTTCTGAAGAGCTTTGTTTTTATCTTTATCCAGATTTTTTATACAATATTTAAAATCTATCTTGAAAGACTGAGTGTGGTCCTTAACAAGTTCTGTTATTATTATCTCAAATTTATTAAGTAGTGATGATGTAAAGGCCTGAGGCACTTTTAAAAATAAACTCCATAACTTACTTTATCTATAAACACTACAGAATGAAAATATACTATCTTTGCAATAGCTTAAGATAGAGATAAATATAAGAATCGCAAAAGTTTTTTTTTTTATACTAAATACGCTCAAACTAAAATAACCTAATTTTTATATAGCTAGTAAAGCTTTAGTTACTATATGATAAGCAACATCAAGATATAAGTTAGCTAGTATAAAAGAGCCCAATCTATGAATAATTAGCTAGCTCTGAAATATATTAAATCTATGCCATTTCAAGCTCTTAACTCATCGCCAATGAGCCAATCTCCGCTGTAGGGTATATATATATATATATATATATATATATATATATATGTAGAGCTGAGCACAAGTCGCATTGGGACAGATCTGAGTACCAATTGAAAACCTGTTCCAAACGTCTGCTCATTCAATTTCATGCAAAACTAAAACTGAGAGTTGTGTAGAAAGCGAACGTGTGTGATATTGTTTTTAGATTTGTTTACATAATTCGCTTACTAGTTGTATTTTACACCTGTAACTCAGCTACGAGAAGGACAACTATAACTATTCGATATGAATAATTGGCATATTTGATTGCTTGATCAGATATTCACGCTGTGTAAGCAATGTGTCACCCGGTGCTAACCCTAATGCAAACACACTTCATGTCTGCATTGTTTATCTAATAGATTAGCAGATGCTTCTTTTTTCTGTATTTGCTAAACTTCTCACATTCTCCATGTGCGCTTATAAATAGAGTTCAAACACAAAATATTGGGTTGACTCATCAATGTTGGCGGTAATAATTGTGACGCAAAAAAATTAGAGTTAAGTGTTCTAATAACTCATGTGTGTATTTTAGATATGTGGATAATTGTTGATATGTATTTATGTATGCTTCAGTAAATATATGTACATATATCTGAACTTGATCATGGAACTAATTCAATTGCCAGCTGTGACATGCTTAAAGCACATGAATGCCAATATACCTGCTCTAGTTCGTTCTCTCTATATCTATATCTCCCGCTATGTAATTTCCTTTCTCTCTCTCTCTCAGTAATTGAAGTTAACAGCCGACCTTTAATTATATTTGCCAATTATAATTAATTTATTATTTCCGTTATTATTTCGAATATTTGTTAAGTTCCAATCTTGATTAGACTATAATTTAGTTATATAAATATATATTCACACATGTTATTTTTTTCATTTTTATTTGCAATAAAAAGTTGCTAAAATTTCTAATATTTCTTACTCAAGTCATCAAAAACATGGATTTATATATACCTATTATTATCGACAGATAATTATACTTTGCAATTCACCAACATTTTATCAACATTTATATTGTTTCAATTATTATTATTTTTTTTTTTTTTTGCATGTTAATAACGAAAATAAGATTCTACCATGAAAGTGCAATTTATGAGTAAAGCTTTGATAAACAAAACAAATAAATTTTTAACGTAAGTAAAAATTAAAAAACAAAATATTTTGTGAGTTTTTTTCCTATGAAAGATTCATTTCGCTTTTCAGAGTTTAGCTGTAATAATGATTGGGGAATAATATAGCAAGTGCACCAAGTGAAATCTGTATTGGTATAGCTATACATAAATAAAGTTTAAATAATAGCTCTTAACATCATCTGCTAAGTCACCAATAGGAGGCTTTGTCAGACACGGAGGATATATCCGTGTTTACCTTTTAGGTATACTAAACATAAGTAAAGATCGATCACTTTTTATCAATTTTAAAAGCACACATAATAATTCAGTAAATATGCTTATAGACAGTAATTTACAGCAATTACAATTAAACTATTAATCTGGGAATAAAAAGAGAATCTAAATATCTATAGATAAAGACATTATATATTATTATAGTTGCGAGACATGAAAACTGAGTTTTATGTTCCTATTAAGACTCCGCTTTTATTGCTTGCCAGACACGACTTTAAAATATAACAATAAAAGATACTTTATATACAAATCTAAAGTCTTGCCAGTGTTCATAGATTACACACACTTAAATAAAAGCGAAATACAATTCAAATTTAATTCAATCCAAAACGTCACAAAAGAAAACTAGGCTTTGAATAGCCTAAGCCCTGAACCTTGAATTAAATGCTGAAGTAGCGTAGATTACATTTTAGTTCTTAGCTAATTGAACTCAGTTTAATCAACTGTTATTTACATATGACCAAGGTATATTCTTTGGTATAAAAGCTTCTCTCACATAGTAAACCGACAGATAAACAACTCAGTTCGAGGAATATCCCATTCCACTTAGAGCACTTTTATTATTTTTTAATAAATATTTATTAAAAGAGTCACTTCTTAAAAATATTACTTCGAGCATACCATCAAAAGATAGTTTTTTCTTAAAAGGCATTTTGGATTTATATATAGATATGTATAGAGATATTATCCTTTTCGGTTCAGCACAATTCACTGAATACACTTGTTAAGGATAATCTGATTTTTCTGATTTTTGGATAATCCGATTTTCTTTATCATATGTCGGTCCTCGAGTGCGCAACGCTTCGCAAGCTAAAGAAAACTGCCGAATGCGTGAATTTTGGAACGATAAATAAGTGAGAATCTCGGGCAGATTTCTTTGATAAACAAGAAAAATGAAAAGAGTCAAGAAAACGGTGACAACTTGTGCCCGATAACAACAACAACAATAACCACAATGAGACACTTAACGCGCATTAGGGCAGCTATACGTACAGATGAATACATATGTAGATGGGATGGATAGTAACTACTACATTCATAAGCCAGACGCTCTTATATCGTCGATCTGTGTGTGATAAGAGTTAAAGTATTCCAAAGAGCGAGTCAATCTTTGGCATGCCAAGTACTTTTCCATCTGCCAATCAACAGTCATTTTCAATATTTGATCTACAGCTTAGGCTGATAGGCATACTTAATATTATATCTAAATTTATTAGTTTTGAAAGATGTTAATCAATTGCTAACATCTTGTGACAGCACATAAGTCTGTCCTGTCTCGCAAGTCGTTTCAGCTGTCAATTGAATTAATTGGGGTGACAAATTCTGGCAAACTGTTCTGCTTCCGGACAGGTTTTAACTAGCTCTAAGGAAATGCATATAATTATTATTCTTAACTATGGACTACCATGAGCAGTCTTGTCAGCGTTTATCTTATCTTAGGATGAGGTATCTTTTCTATTCCCTGCATTGAAAATCTTCAATGAATTTATATCTCTATAAATAGACACAGATTGTGCAACACATTAAGGTCATCAGGTGTCTGGGCTCCTGTGCATGATGGACAATTGATCTACTTTTTTATCGCATATATTTGTTAAGATAAATATCTAGCATCGCATCAAAAATAGATCAAAGAAAAAACAACAATGGTAGGTAGCAATTATAAAATTAACAAATACATATTTTTCTCCTGTCATAATAATTTTTAGTGATTATCAATAAAATCATAAGTTTATATGTTATTAACAAAGATTCGAAGAACAAAAATTAGCGCCAACATAAAGCTGCTCAGGTTAAGTGCTGCAAAATATTAAATTATATTCGATAAGTGGATAAGTATCGATACGTATTATAGGTCTGCATGTCGTCCAGCCAGACATGCTAAGTATATTATTATTTCTTAAATTGTTATTTAATTATCATAATATTGTATATAGAATATTGTATATAAGTGCTACTACAATCTCCCGAAAATATGCAAAAGTATCGATATATTAGTACCATCTCTTTTCGTTTTAGGGTTGCAAGTCAGATATCGATATCTGCCCACAGTTGAACTAAATATGCAGTTCAGCTAACTTTGTGCAACCTTGTTCGTTTATCGCAGCGAATAAAAATATAATTAGGAACAGAATTATATTTATCTGAAGTTAAACAACCTAAGCGCCGTCGCTAATGCTCGTCTTTTTGACCAAAAAAAACCAGCCAGTAAGAAGCGCAGAAATTGGAGACGAGGCAACCATTGAATGAAATCAAAAATTTGCAAAATTCGACCAGCGAGTGCGAGTGAAAAAGAGCAAAGGCAGAAGAAGAAAAGAAAGGAGGAGGTAAAGCGTAAAGCAGAGGCAAAGCAGAAAACGACCAGCCACAAAGCACGAAAGGCTAACCCCCAAACAAAAAGAAGTGCGTGAATATTTAGAAAAATTAACGCCAGACCGCCATTAGTGTTTTTGTTATCGTCGACGTCTTCAACGTTTTGTTTATTGTTGCTCACGAAAAGTGTTGAATGCTGGCTTCGGGTAAGGCGAATAAGATCGGGCGACAACTTCTCCATTAAAGCGAGCATATTGTCGACATCGTACCGTTCGTTCCCGTCTCCGTTTCTCCCCCGTTTCCGTTGTGCATCGTGACGTCGCTAAGCGAAATTCAGATTCAGCCACCCAGCCAAAGCCAGCGAGAAAGATAAAAAGAAAAGAGCCAATAGACAGAGAAACAGAAAGCAGAAGTATTTAAACAAGAAAAGAAAAGTACGAAAATACAAAAGAAAAAAAAACACACACACACAAGAGCAAAAGTAGACGCAACCTAAGAAACGCATAAAAATAAAATTGAAATCAGAAATAAGTTCAACTGAAAGCAAAGTACCCCGTGCGTTCGTCGACTCTTGGTGCTGGCAATTGGCAATTGGCAATTGGCTTGCCCATCTTCTATTATGAACAACAATAGCAAGCGGAAAAGTCGACCTAGTGGAGGAGGCGGCGGTGGTGCCAGCGGCGGCATCTCAAGGTAAGAAGAAGCGCTGCTGCTGCTGCAATTGAAAAAGCACGAAGTAAATGCAAAGGCAAACGAACGAAGAAAAACACGGTGCAACTGCTCGTTGTTTTCGTTGTTGTCGTTGTTATTTCTGCTTGCAGCCAGTGTAAAAAAATAAAGTAAAATAAAATAAAACAAAAAAAAAAAAATTAATAACGCTCCAGGTTCCACAGTCGTGAAAGGTGAAAGCGCGCGCTTCATTTTTAATGTGTTATTTTAAAAATATTGTGTTTTTCTTTTGTTTAAATATTCTTGTTGGCTGCAAGTATAATTTCGTGGAAGTTGTTAACTTGTAATTGCAACTAAATCAGAAAAAAGGGGCACAAGCAATCAAGGCAAATTGCAATTACTTATATAATACATTGTTCATGAGTGTGTTTGTGCGCGAATATGTGTGTGTGTCAGTTTGTGTTGGTGTTGGATCTGCCGATGGCGGTGGCAACGCACACAAACACAAATACATTCTTATACGTATATGCAGACATGCATGCATGTATGTGTGTAGTGTCGTTTTGTCATATTTTAAGCTTTGTTTACATTTCCCTTTCACATGCGAACCCCAACAACCAAATAATGAAAAAAGAAGAACAACAATAAAACAAAACGACAAAAAATATATACTCAAAGCACGACGAATAATTTGTTTAAAGTCATCCAATTCCCCAGAGAAGCACCCCACACAAACACACACACACGGGAAAGAGACCTCGATCAATGAATATGTGTATGCTTCCCGCCCTCTTCTTGCCCAGACCTTTAAATTTTCAATTGAAATATGACGGCAATACATTCACACATACACAGATGTTTGTATGTGCATACCTCCACATTTGCCTGCATTTAGCCATGCACACTTGCCTCGTGTGGTACAAGTGTACCTTTTGGTACATATTATATTCAACGCTACACTGGGCTGTTCGTTGTTATGAACTTACCAATTTATTAGCGTGGCATAAAACAAATTATTCTAGAGAAACTTAAAAAAAAAAAATCAGCCGGTTTTCAATATTTGTGTATTTAATTTGATTTAATTAATTAATTTCATTCTATAGCATCACAGTGTATAGGATAATCAAAATCTTTGACACTTGTAGACACCGCTACCATACAGTGTTACCATGATATATGAAAGTGATGCTCACTATTTTCGGCTATTTGGAGCCCACTGTAAAGCACGCTCACGACGCGCACGTATCGTATTTTTCTTTTTCTACGTTGCTTGGCTCGTTTTCGTATGCATTTTTCTTGCATTGTCAGCATTTTGCTGTTTGCTGTTTGTTGTTGCTGCTGCTGCTGCGTCGTGTGACGTGCGACACGACGGCGGCTGCCGCTGCTTTTGTCGCTGCCTTGGCACACTTCGTCTCCCGCCGGGCGCACAAAATTTGGGTCACTTTACAATTTGCTGACCGAACATTTGGTATCGCTTCGTTGTTCTTGTTTTCCTTAACCCTTCTCTCTCTCTCTCTCTATTCGGCATTCTGCCTATGCCCACTTGCATTTAAGCCCCGTTCGTTGCAGTCATCTATGTATGTATGTATGTATTGCATACGTCTGTTTGTATGAATTTGCGCCTCGGCCTATTTAGCCTGCCTCTTATATATTTTCTTTTGCTGCCTGCCTCGTCTAGTTATGCTAGAGCAGATTCGCTTTAATGCGATTCCAACGACTCGGACCACCTTATCAATGAGCGCCTCTTGCTTTACGCATGATTCATTTTAAAACGCATATCAATTATTTGCTTTCATTGACGAAAAAGTGCGCAGTGCAGGAAAAGCAATGAATCAGCCTCCATTCTGCCCCACTGCACCCGCTCAGATCTGGCAGCGACAGTGTGTAGATTATTAATAATATTACTTTTATTATTGTTGTTGGTGTTGTCGTTACTGTTGTTATTGCTTTCGTTGTTGTGTGCGTGTGTCTGAGTTCATTGTGCGCTGCGAACTGTAAACTAAGGAGCTGGTCATTTCACGGTCGTCGATCCTGCACGCAATCAAAACAACCCCAAAAGTCGCTCGTCCGCATAAATTTCATATTTTAAATAAACTAGTTCTAAAAGAATTTTTAATTCATATTTCTCAAAGTGTAAAAAAAACTTGATTAAGCATATTAACTTTGTTGTAAATAGTTAAAAGAAGCAACAACAAAATTTGAATAGTAAAAGACAAACTAGCATTGGTATATATTGATTTAAAAAATTATAAAAAAAAAAAAATACACAAATGTCAGCAAAAAGTCTCAAATCTGTCTCGTATTTATATTTGAACCCTCTTTTGCTTGAGCCATACCAATAATTACAGGCATTAGCCAGAGTAACACAGGTGTATGCATATTTCATTTAGTTCATGAGCAGGGAAGAATTTTTAAAATTGAGTTCACTGGACTGAACCAAAGCGCATACACACTCCCACTCTCAATCACATTCCCACTTACACTCACACTCACATATACATAATATGACCAGCATTTATTTGCTTTCGTGGGCCGCGCTGGGCGTGGCTTGGTGCAAAGGGCCGCAGGCCCACCAGCGACAATAACAACAACCAGAACCACAACAACATTAACAACAACTACAACAACGATGGCGATGGCGAATCGATATCGCAACGCAGCGCAGCGCAGCGCAGTTTAAACATCGTTGTCGACCCTGAGCAGTGTTCGGGCTCGATTGCTTTTGCTAGCCTCGGCCGATTTGCCTTTGCAGTTGCTATTGTTATTGTCATTGTTTTTGGCGGTGCTTGCTTAGAGAAACGAGCTGAGCTGCGTCTCGGCTTGAATGATGTGTGAATGTGGATGTGGGTAGTTCATCTATTTAGTTGGCTATACTAATTGCTTATGCCACGGGTCTCCGGTTGTCCGGCTCTCTTGCAGATACAACGCCAACGACAACAGTCTACGGCCAGCGAATAATAAGGCGGGTGGCGTCGGCAGCGTTGGTGGTGGCAGCGGCGGTGGAAGCGGACGTTCGCCGGCGCCGGGCGTCTATAATAACACCTATTTCATGCACTCGGCTACGGCGCTGGTCGGCAGCGTTGTGCAGGTTCGATTGCGCTCGGGTAATACCTACGAGGGCGTATTTCGCACATTTTCGGGCAATTTTGACATCGCACTGGAGCTGCCCGCGTGCATAAAGGCTAAAAATCAGCCCGACGAAGACAAAACAGTGCCCAGACACATCATATTCCCGGCGGATACCGTTGTCACCGTTATAGCCAAGGACTTTGATTCTCAATACGCGACTACAGGCGCCTTTCAGACCGACGGCGCCATATCGGACAAATGCAACGGTAATTTGAATAATTTCTCTGCTGCATATTGCAATTACGTTGTTATTGTTATTGCTGTTTTATTGATAGGCACTCGCTTTGATGAAAAAGAATTGGAGCCATGGGACTCTGGAGCGAATGGCGACGTTGACATCGAACTGGATGGCTCAGCCAACGGCTGGGATGTGAATGAAATGTTCCGCAAGAATGAGAATCAGTTCGGTGTAACCTCCACGTTCGATGATTCGCTGTCGACGTATACAGTGCCTTTGGATAAGGGCGACTCACTAGAGTTCAAGGAAGCGGAGGCCAAGGCTGAGAAATTGGCAGCAGAGATCGAGAACAATCCCACATGTCGGGAACGTTTGGATCTGGAGAATGGTGATGAGGAGGCACTTTTCGCAGCCGTGGAGCGGCCACCGCCAGATCACGAGCAGGAGCGCGAGCGTGAGCGCAATGAGCGGGAGAGGGAACGCGAACGAGAGCGTGAGGAACGTGAACGCGAACGGGAACGTGATCGAGATCGTGGCAACAAGCCACGTGGTGGTGGCGGTGGCGGTGGATCTGGTGACTATCAGCTGCGCGAGACAATGAGCAGCGATCGCTATATCACCAAGCAAACGCGCAACAACAATGGCCCGCCTGGATCACATGCTGTCATTTCCCAATCGTCCAGTGTAACTGGATCACGCGATCGTGATAACCGCGATTCGGCTATGATGAATCAACAGGGCATGGGCCAGGGCGGAGGCACACAGTCGCAAGCAGTGCTCATTCTCGCTGGAAACTTGAAGAATACAGGCCCAGCCTCGTCCTCGGGCAACGCATCAACAGATACGGGCACTGGCGGCAAGTACGGCGGTGGTGGCGGTGGCAGTGGCGGTGGGCCAATGATGAAACGCAAAACAGTGCCGCAAGGCGGCAAACTAATGCGAGGTAATCCGCCCAATAGCGTTGGCGCCGGCAACGCATCTAATGTTTCGCAAGGCAACAATAACAATAACGTGAGCAACAAGAGTGGAGGCTACCAGTCCTCGATGGGTATACAGAACCAGTATTCCTACCAGGGCAGCTCACAGATCATACACGGGTAAGCCGAAGCTATTTATAATCACCAGATGTCGAGGCTAAACTCACTTTATTCACTTGTACTCTTAGCTCCTCCCAATATCGGAATCAAGGGCATATGAGCGGTGCGTCCAAATTGAACGGTGGCGACTCTGGCTCTAATTCGGGCAAGCCACTGCCCCAGCGCCAGATGCGACAATACCAGGGCTCTCAGAGCAACTCGTCGCTGAATTATGGCGGCGATTCGCAGCCACTGGGCAAGCCCATGCACGGTGCTCATGTGCATGGTGGCCACAACAGTAACTCGCCGCCACTGCAGGCTGGCGGGCAGCAGCAGCAACAACAACAGCAGCAACAACAGCCACCACAGCAGCAGCAGCAGCAGCCGCCGCAACAGCATCAAAGCCAGCCGCAGCAACAGCGTCAAGTGCGCTCACGCGATAATCAAATACAGGAGCTGCGTCAATTTGGACAAGACTTTACGATGGTGTCGCCGCCGCAGCCACAGCAGCAGCAGCAACATGCACTGCAACGGAGTGGTTTGCAGCCATCGGCATCACCGCCTCAGCCGCAGCAGCAGCCGCAACTGGTGGCCATGCAACATGTACATGTGCCGCCGCCGCATCATCACCAGCAGCTGCCACCACAGCAACATTATGTGCCTCAGCAGCAGCAACAGCAGCAGCAGCCGCCGCCGCCGCAGCAGCAACAGCAGCAGCATGTGCAACATATGCAACAAAAGGCGCCACCGGCGCAACAGCAACAACAACAACAGCAGCAGCAGCAGCTAGTAGTAGACAGTCAGCACCAGCATGTGCCCAAGCAGCAACTGCATCAGGGCCAGCCTCAGGCACAGCCGACACAACAACAACAACAGCAGCAGCAGCAGCAGCAACAACAACAGCAACAGTCAGCTCAATTAGATCCAAGCCAGCCGCAGCAGCCGCTTTACCAAATTGTGCAACAAGGTGTGCCACTGCCTGCCAACGTACAGCAGCCGCAAACTTCGCCCGTGGTTTTGAGCTCACCAGGTGTAATGGAGCAGCAGGCGCCTACGCCACTGCAGGCAACTCCAAAGACGGATGCATCGCCAGCGCCCAATATTGCCGTGGGTTCCAGCAGCAGTAGCAGTGTCACGCCCACTGGCATTATTGCTAACACATCCACAACAGCAGGCACGGGCAGTGCTGCTGCTGGGTCAGACAAGTCGACGCCAGTGACCAGCGCTGCTGGCAACGGATCGACCACAGCCACTGGCGCCGGCACAGGCACGGGCACCAGCACTAGCACCACTCCGAGCAGTGCAACGCCTGTCGTGAAGAAGCATGTGCTGAATCCATCGGCCAAGCCATTCACGCCGCGTGGACCTAGTACACCAAATCCATCGCGACCACATACGCCACAGACTCCGGTACCCATGCCGGCCATCTACACGACTACGGGCGCCCACATGGCGCCGGCTAATCCGCAGATCTACATGGTGCAGCAGCAGCCGCATGCATTCCAGGCACCCACACATCCAGGCGGCCAGGCGCAGCGCCTGCGTCGCAATAATTATGGTGAGTGGATAATTTCGGTATATTTATGTGTAAGCAGATGTGGATAATCAATCACGTTCGCCCCTCAGGTCAAATGGGTGGATCGCAAATGCATGTTGCAAGCGCAACGGGACAGCCACTGATGGCCGCGGCACCGTTGCAACAGTTCATTCAATACCAGCAAACTCCGCATCCACCACATTTCCAGCCGCCATATGGCGCGATGCCGATACGCATGTATCAGGACCAGCCACAACAGTTACAGTTTTTGACACAGACAACGCCATCGACGACGCCATCGCCGGGTCAACCGCATCCGACGTTTCATCCGCCCCCACAGCCTTCCCCTGCTGGCGGGGGACCGCAGCCCGCAGCATTCCCAGGCCAAGGACAGCCAACATACCAATTGATGTGCGTACATCCCCCGCAGATCATGGCCAATCCCTACTTCCCGGGAACAACGCCGCAGAATCCGCCGCAGAATCAACAGTATCAGATTGTAATGCAGCCGCATATCACGCAGTAAACTGCACGATTCTCAATGGAAGCATTCGCGGCTGACGTCACAGTGGAATCAAACATCAGCGTCAAAATCTCATAGCCCCTTTTCGCCCCACACCAACACCACATTCACACCCACACTCTCACCAACACCCATACATGCACAGCAACACGCCACGTCAGATACACAAACACACACATATATACACAAACAAAGCATATACACGAAAATTCACATACACACATTTCTGCAACCAAACTGATGATTCTTTGGGATTGCCTGGACAAATTGAGCTCCGATCAGTTGTATACATCACGCCAAGCCATCATACTGTCACTGTGAGGTGCTTCACCCTAAGGCAACCATCATACTTATATGCATCGCAAGTGAAACAGCAACACAAACAACAACTAGGAAATTATACAATATATTTAACAAACAACAAAAGGGAAACTAGTGAATTTGTCTACAGTGCTCGATAGCCAAACAAACAAACAAAGACAAATCAGTACGTAGTTATCAAAAAATCTGCAGGAATAACGCTGCATTAAGAGAAGCTTAATAGTTCTCATTACTGATTTCCGAATATCCAATCTCACATGCGTCTCCTTTGGCATCGAGCTGTCTGTACCAAGCCCCGTAAATCAACCAAATCCAATTGATTGAAAGTGTGCAGTTAAACAAAACAACAACAAAGTGAAATGATAAAAAATAAAATCAATTCAGAAATCTGAACTGAAGGTAAACACGTGAAGCCCTTTTAAAAACAGAAGAACTAATTGGAATTTTTTTGTAAAATTTGCTTAAAGCGAATATTTTGAATTTACTTCCGTAATAAGAGAATGTAGGCCTTGGCGTACACGTATTTACACAATAGAGGAGTCCACGGAGCGAGCAATCGATAACACGAAGAGACATTAAGATCCAAAGTCCTCATTCCAAAATTACATACAATCCAAGCTAAATGTTAAAGCTCTGTAATTGGAATATTATATAGTACATACATAGCATTCATTGTGGAATAAGTACTTTTTTTTATATATATATCTTATCAGATTCCACTTTGAATCCTCTACACAACTTTTGCTTGGTTTGCTGAAAAAAAGCAAGGATAGAACAATGTCAAATGCAGAGCGAAGAATGTGAATTGAAGAGTCGAACTTTTTATTTAAACACTGTTGTAGAAACTGATTGATTTTGTTAAAATTTAATTTTGTTTTCACTTCTACATTCTTAACTCTCCCAATTCTAAAAACAAAAAGAAAAAAAAAAATGGAATTCAAACACACGCGATTTTTACTGATAATATTTATTCTGCAATTCTATCAAATGATTTTCGCGTTGCTTTGCGCATTATTTAAAAAATATTTAGGAAGCGTGCGAGTTTCTGAATCAGGCTTTTGGGTTTTTAGTGCCTCCGTTGTCCTTCAGAGAAAACGTTGAAATCCTTTGCCGGCGGCCATCAATCAGTTCGATTCTATTCAGTATGATCAATATTTGCATCTGTTGTGGTCCTGTTTTGTTTTGTAAAGTTTCCTTAAATGAAAATGAAAAGAAAGAGAAAATAATAACTATTAATTAAAATAAAAAAATAATTAAATAAAAGTAAATAAAAAAAAAAAAAACAAAAACCACAAAAAAAGAACAAAAACAAAACATCTAAATAGCATGTGTATTTATTACCGGTAACTTGCGAGGACTTGGCCTGACTTCGTTCCAAGGGATCTGGAATATAATTAGCACAACATACACGTCGGCTGCGTAACGCGAGCTCTGTTGAGATTTCTTTACCCAAACTCGTCAAAATGGCTGTGATATGATAGTGAATACATACGGTCACAGACATTTTAACGACATGGTATAAGAAAATTGCAATTCGAATGCAAATGAAGATGGAGATGGAGGTGGAGGTGGAGGTGGATAATCCAGTGACACAAGACGGATGAGACAATGCTGAAAGCAATTCACACGAAACTCATCAAAATGGCTGTGATATGACTTGATAATGGCTACATTTCACAACCCCTTGAAGAGTTACGCAAGAATTGAGTGGGCGGAGACCGTTAAGTGTCCCATATAATGAGATGCAAACACTTGTTGGTTGTGTTTGTTGTAGTCCTGTTTACCGGTGCGGCGACTCAACACCTATAAATTTTGTTTCCGTTTTTTTTTTTTTTTTCTTACTCTTAATGTTATTTCGCCCTTCGCAATGCCCATCAAAGCTGGCTGTGATACAATTCAATTACAGAAATATCATTCTCAGCCCTTTTTGATGACACTGAAAGTAAGACCAAGCATGTACACACTTATACACACACACACACACATACACATACACTGGCACACCCGTGTAAACGAACTCTAATACAATTCACGTAACCAAAGACGTTAGCCGGCAGTGAGGACGACGTAAACGATTTGGGCGTAACGTAAAAAACGTAAAACTCAATTGGGTTTTAATGAGTGTGTATGTTTGTCAGTATGCTTGCGTGCGTGCGTGTGTGCGTGTACATGTTTGGCAACGTTTGTGTACCGTTAATTTGACTAATTGAAGCACATCCCGGCACTTGCTTATGCATTATTACTTTTATCCTTTGTAGGTTAAGTAGCTACGAATCTGCTGCATGTTGCATGCGTACCACACACTGGGTGAATGTGCATGTATGTATGCATGTCTGTATGTGTATTGCTAGGCAGCAAAATGGCAACGTTGTTGCTGACTGCGACGGCGACCACCGCCCTCTGCAGCAGCTTAAATGTCTGCCAGTCAGTCTAACTGTGAACTGCGCTGTCTGCATCATTTGGGAGTGTGTGTGTGTGTGTGTGTATGTACGCATGTGTGAACTCTGTGTGTGTGTGTGTGTGAGCGTATTTATACACCCCTATCTCGCGCCTCTTCTAGTATTCAGCGGCAGCGGCAACAACAACAGCAACCACCATTCGCATTTGGTTCTTGTTTAGACAGAGTTACGAAAGATTTTCGAAATTCGAACTTCGAACTTGATAGGCACAAATTGAAGCATTCCATTTGCCTGTTCAATTTTGTAACATTGACGGATTTGTATTACGATTATTATTTCTTTTTAGAGATCTGAACTTGCACCCGAATCCTTCGGAACTTTTCAGGAGATGCAGTAGGGGATAAATTGAGTGCATATACATACATAATAATGTGTGTATATGGAATTGGGTATGTATATGTTTATAGGGTGTTGCCCAGTCGGCTTATTGATCTGTACGCTAACTGTTGTTGCCGCTAACGCTGCCGCTGCCGCTGCTCCTGCTGCTGCTGCAGTCCTGCAACCGAATTGAGCCAATATACATACATAAATATATACATACATGTACGTATGCATGTGGATCTATGTATGTTTGTATGTGCACACGAGTTGTGAAAAACCGACGAAATGACGAACCATCCCTTATTTGGCACGTACCCGGCACATTGCTCTCTCTCTGCCCCTCTCTGGCATTGTCGCTCACTAACACACAGACTCTCTCTCTCGCTCTGTCGTCCCTTTCTCGTTTCGTCTTTGTCTGTTTGCTTCTGGGCTTCGGCTCTTTCTCTACCCACCAGCTGCCTTGCATGGGTGTGTGTGTCCGTGTGCGAGTGTGTGTGTGTGTATTACTACTGTCGCAGACGTCGGACTGCCACCCACCCTATTTCCAGCAGCAGGAACAACGACGACAACAACAAACACAACATCATCATCCTCGTCCTGGTCGGCGTTTCTTGTGTGTATACTGAAATACGTAAAATTCATTTATGGCTCGTATCCTTTTTGTTGTTGCTGCTGGTTCTGACGCTGGCGCTGCTTCTACTACCGCTGCCGCTGCCGATTCTACTGCTGCTGCTGCTGCCGCTTTGTTCCTGTTTCGGGGCGACGGCCGCTTTGTACTCGTCCTGGTCGTTGTCTTGGTTTCAGCTTCTGCTCTGCGCCCACTTTCCGAGTGCCGCCCGTTGCCCGTTTCCCGTTACCCATCGCCCATGGCCCGCTGCCCGTTGCTGCTACGCATTTCATGTCATACGCAAACCTTTGTGCCTTTCATTACGGGAATCCTTGAAAGTCCCAGATCGCATTTTCTCTACAAAGCCGATTACTGATGTGCGCCGGGGGTGCTGCTCTGGACAGTTGCATTTTCTCGATTCTCGAGGCTCCGTATTTTTGTATTTTATTTTTTTGTGTACGCCCATTGAATCTGGCATCGGCCATATATACCTCTATATAGTACTTTTTCAGATCCAAATCTTCTTCAAATATAGTGTGGTACCTAGCGTAAAATGTTTTTGCGCAGTTTACAAATGGCCGCAAACACTGAACTGAACTGCTACGGTCGGGGGAGGGAGGCGTGTAAAAAGCAACAAACGCCATGTACTGCAAAATTTTCATCATTCGCTTTCACTTGAGTTTTTCACTTGTTTAGCACATGAAATATATGTTTAATGCACAATTCCTGGGTCTGTGGCAGTTGCACTATTTTTAATATATTTATTCACATTTATTTACCGTACATTTCCCATTCAAATGGCAATAATTTATTAACCGGTTTTTCTCGTGACGTTTTCGCCTTTTTACAACCACACACAGAGAACAGAACGGACAACCAACTGCTGTCTGTTAGCTGCCTCTGTTAGGCCGCTGCCTGCCTTTCGTTTCGTTTCGTTTCGCTCGTTTTCTACGCTGTACTCACGCTCGTGAGAGTGTGCGCACGCCTGTGTATGTGTGTGTGAGTGTAGCCGATTGCTTGCGTGTATGCCGTTTGCCGTTTGGGCAGGACTTCGTGTTGACTTCGGGCGCTCAGCCAACGCTTCGTATTTCAGTATAGTTTTCAGTTACATGCCTTGGATGCGCGCGCGAAAAAAGGGCAAAAAAGGCGCGCCCCCATCCATCAACCACCAAAATGACAGAGAATGTATTCCGTGTTTGTTTCCTCCAATGCCGTGCGAGCGAGACAGAGCGATGGCATGTGAGCGAGCGACTCTCTCTCGCACAACATCCTGCCGCTGCTGTAAGTGGCTCTGTTAGCTAACAGGCGTGCATGTGAGTCGCCCTGTGGGCGAACGATGCATACGCACACACACACGGAAAACACCCCGAAGTAACGGTCGCAAATGGAAACACCGTGTGATTTTAAATGTGTCAATTTCTTTATTTCATTCATCCGTGTACACGAGCAAAAAAATGTTCAACAGCATGAAATACTACACAAATGTTGTAAATGTAAACAATGTTAATAATAAATATTGTACGAGTCACACTGTGCATGATTGATGTGCGGGTCATGTTTGAATTTTCTTTGCAATCGGGTGGTTTGTCTGGTATATATGTATGAGGTGTGGGTTCCAGCCGCATCAGCATGTAAACAACAATTAACAAGTTCCGGAACCATTCCAGGGTTACGTGACGCAGCGAAGCAGCTGAACATGTGGAACCAGCGCGCAACATTCAAGAGGAGTTGGCAAGTTAAAACTAAAAACGAGATGCATTTATAACTAGTTCTTTTTTTTTGTTCTTTTTTGTTCTGGTTTTTTTTTCCTTTTTTGTATGTGTGTGTGTAAGTAGTAATATGTACGTTTGTAATTTCATAGTATGTGAATGCGCATGTATGCATGTATGTGTGTGGGTGTGTGAGTGTGTGATATGTATGCATGATTGAGATACTTTAAATAATCATAAAAAATACATATTGCAAAAGTTGTTGGCAATTAATTAATCAAATCAAATTCAGGTGCTCAACACTTCTCAAAGCAAACCTGCGATACAGGATTTAATTCCTGTATATATGTATGTATATATAGCCTATACAACACAAACATTGTATGTCATATATATTATTGTTTAAAAAGACCTTAAAATGTATTGCAACAGGGCCAATTTCCAAATGCTAATATTAGATTTTCTTTTTTTTTTTCTTTCCTTTTTTGTTTAGTATATGTTAGTAAATGATTTATATGTATTGAGAATCTTAAGAGCTAGCTGGGAATTCTTGATCTTGAGTGCTGAAGAAACGCTACGCCTAACTATAAACCAAAATGAAAATGTCTGTATGTGTATGCATGTGTGTGTGTGAGTGTGTGTGTGTATCTGCCTGTGTATGTTTAAC